ACACCGGCGTGCGCGCCGAAGAGAGAACGACAGGGAGAGCGACCCTCGAGCGCGAGGATCTTCCCGGTCCGTGCCCACAGCCCACTCGACACCATGTGCCGCTTCCCTCCGTGCAGCTCGTCCTCCGCCTCCGGGGGGCCCCCGCCTCTCCTCCTCGATCACCTGCTGCTCCTCTCACCGGCGACGCGGCGACCTCGGGCTCCGACCCCGGGCTTCGCGACGCCGCCGAGGTCCCCCGCGAGGGCCATCGGGTCGCGCGGCTCGTCGACGCATCCACGGGGTCGCTGTCCATCGTCGGCTACGCGCAAGTGGCCCTGGGCAAGAGTGACCTCTGGTGCGCGGCTTCAGCGGGGGCCGAACCGCAGGCGCGCAAGAGGCTACCATCGCATCCCGTTCGGCGGTCGGGGCACCCCACTGGGCCCGCGCCAACGGCCATTCTGGCAGAGGGTCACTCCTACGTGTAGCTGCCATCTCTCGGCGGCACTGCCACTTCTCCCCGCGCGCCCGAACAGCTTCGACGTCACGCCCCTTTCTGGCGCGCGCCCGCCCCCCCTCCCCGCCAGAACCGCTCGCGCAGGTCAAGGTGGCAAGGAAGCCCGAAGAGCGGCCCGCGCCGGAGGGGCGACGAGGGGAGGCCCGACGGAGCTCACGGCGAACAGACGTCGGAAGCCCCACCGCTCGACCGAAGATCGAGGCACGACCTGCGAGAGCACGCGCGCGCAGCACCGAACGACCGGCCAGGAGAGAGGGCCGACGACAGCGACGACTCCTCGGCGCGAGGGCCCCTCGCGCCCCGTCGAGGTCCCAGACGCGGCGCTGCTCCGAGGCCGGCGCAGGCCCGTCGGGGTCGCGAGGCGGGGGTCGCGCACCGCTCGGGGCCTCCCCTGGGCCAACTGCGGGAGGCCCGCGGGCCTCTCGGAAGCAGTTCCGGAAGCAGTGACGCTGTCGACGCACTTGCGCAGCAATTCCAGGCCCCGCCCAGGAATGCGTGGCCCGGGGGCGCCATCGACCAGCTCCTGGCCACCGCTCGGACGTCCATTCCCTGTTTTTTTTGTCGGTTTCGCGCGTGGTTTCTCCGCCAACTGATCAAGGATGCTCCTCGATGGTCCTCGCCGAAAGAAAAATGCACACGTCCGAGCGATGCCAAGACTCTGGAACGACTCCAAAACCGCCCTTCTCGACGAGGGAGGTTCTCTGAACTCTTCGGCGCGGGTCGAGGGCGCGCGCCCAGCCAATGGGTGGCACTGCGAGGCGCGGGCGCGCCCGCCCTGAACGGCCCGAAGACGAGGCAGCGCAAAAATAGCTTTCGCGTCCGACGCCAGCCCCACGTTGTAGAAGACGCCCGCAACGTCCACGCCTGCGGCCCACGGCGACTCGCGCGGAGACAACTCCCTCGACGTGCTGCTGCCCCCAGCAGCAGGAGACGTCCTCTCCGCCTCGGTGCACCTGAAGCTGCTGCCACGGCAATTGACCGACCACTCATCGTTGACGACTATCGGTCTTCCAGAAAGCGAACGAACAGACTTGTGGAATCTCTTGACAAGGGACACTCGAACAATCCTATCATAGAATTAAAGGAATGTTTTAACTGTGTAAAACATGGTCTAAAAACGTTTCAAACATGGTTCTACATACTTAAAAAAAGTTAGTACATGTTTTCGACATCTGGGACTAAGTCGGGCGTGTCCCTCTACAGGGGGATCTTGGGCGAAAAATAATAAGTACCCCAAAAATACCACCGAAAAGGGCAAAAATAGTCAACAAATCGTCCCCAGACTATTTTTCGACTATTTTGACATTCCTTCTGTAGAGGGACAGGCCCTACTCAAATCCATAAATCGACTCCCACAAAAACAGACCGACTTCCCTTAGGAGGCAACTACTGGGAAGTTTTCGTCGGAAAGAGCAAGGAGGATTAAGCCCCATTTGGGAGCTGCTACGCCGGAGTGGGCCTCGGATCAAGCGGGATTAAGCCGGCTTAAGCGGGATTAAGCGGTTAAGCGGGATTAAGCGGGATTGAGCGGGATTGAGCCGGATTAAGCCGGATGAAGCCCGATTTCGGACCAGGGCAGCATCAGAATTTGACCTCCCAGGAGTTGCATCCGGACTTCCCCACAGTCGCCCCCCTCCGACGTCCACTCCGGCGCGCCTCCGGCCCTCGCCCTCCCGACGCGCAGGCCGCCTCGGCGCCGACCTCCCTCACAAGAGCCCTTGCGCATGGCATCGGCAAGCAGCCTCGGACAAGGGTTAAGTCGGGCATGTCCCCCTACAGGGGGACTTTTCGACGAGAAATAAAACAAATAATCAGAAAAGACTCCCAATATGCCAAAGAATAGCCACAAAATAGTCCCCAGGCTATGGAGTACTATTTTTGAATATTCCTCCTGTAGAGGGACAGGCCCGACTTAAATCTGGGAACTATTTGGCAGCATGCTTCCTGTCCATCAATCGACTTCCACAAGAACAGACCGACTTCCCTTAGGAGGCAACTACTGGGAGGTTTTCGTCGGAAAGAGCAAGGAGGATTAAGCCCCATTTGGGAGCTATTACGCCGGAGTGGGCCTCAGATCAAGCGGGACTAAGCCAGCTTGAGCGGGATCAAGCGGGATCGAGCGGGATTGAGCCGGATTTGTTGGGACCCGGGCCATCGGCACCCAACGGCTTGCGCATTGGCGCCGGAGCACTTGCCGCCCACGGCTGACAGGGACGCGAGGCCAGGCGCGACAAAGGGCCACGGGGGACGGGCTCGCCATCCGAGCGGCCCGCGCCGACCTGGAGCTCCCCGGGGCCACCTCGGCCGACGAATCTGAAGTCGGGAGCGGCCAAGAGGGGGGTGTCCACAGAGGGGGGGGTGCAAATCATGACCGGGGGCATGTGCGCGGCCCAGCGGGCCAGGGACGCAATGAAACAAGAAGAGGCGCCATGAAATCTGGGGAAATATCATGGCCCCCGCCATGATATCCACCCCCCCCTAGTCATCACCCCCTTCTTTTCCGCCCCCGATGAGAGAGGGGGGGGCCCATCGCCGCGCAGCGCTCGGCGAGATGCTCCGAGCACCGCTGCTGCAACCGGTTGGGCTCCCGGCCCGCATGTTTGGGAGGGGGTCGCTGGAGCCGCCGCCCAGCTGCTCGGGCGGCACAGCGAACTCCACCAGCAACGCCCCGATGCCCCGGCGGCGCCGGGCACTGCGGGAGCTTCGCCCGCTGGCTCCAGCGCCCACGTCGAGATGGTCTGGGACTGGCAATGGAAGAGGCGACCGCTGCGCGTGGTCATCGCCTCTTATCCCCGCGCCCCCTCGCGCGCACCTCCGGGTCGGGACAGCTCCAAAGGCTGGCCCTGCATCGCGACTTGCCCGGAGGAGCTCCTCCGCTCTCCCTCGAGGCGCCTGGGCGCTGATCTCTCAGCTTCTTCGCGTTCCTCTCGATGCTGGAGAACCGCTCCAGCTTCTTCGACGTCGCTTCCACGAACTCGGGACACTCCATCGACGCGGAAATCGCGCATCCACAAATAACGTGCGACTCATCTTCGGGCCTCCGCGTATCGCGCAGCTGCATCTCGGCGCCCCCGTCATCCCAGCAGCGCTCGATGCTTTGGAGCTCGCGGTGCAACATCTCTGCACTTTCCAGGTTGGAGATGCCCACGTGGTTGACTTCATCCACGGGCTCGAGCATCTTCGAGTTCGTTGCCTGCGCTTGCGCTTCGCCTTCGTCTGCTGCTGCACGTTCCCGTCCTCCTCGTCCTGCTCGAAGGACTTCTGGACCCCGAAGGCGCGGAGGGCGAGGCCGCGGTCCTCTGCGGGGGAGCTTCCCCCCGAAGTCTCCAGGGAGCGGCAGTCTGAAACACACCGAGCCCCCCCGAACCCTCAAGGTTGCCACCACGTCGCTCCCCTCCTCGACCCCGCACGACGCCAGCGTCCGGCCGCCGCGCAGCGCGATCGAGCAGAAGCCGGCGACAGCGGCGCGGGGCTCGACCACGGCATCGGCGGCGATGCGCCGGCGAAGGTCGTCCGCCAGTGCGCTCCTCGCACGCTCGTGCACCGAACCCTGCCCCGTGCGGCGCAGGAGGGAGGTGGAGGAGGAGGAGGAGGAGGAGGAGGAGGAGGAGGAGGAGGAGGAGGAGGAGGAAGAGGAGAAGGAGCAGGAGGACGAGGAGGAGGAGAAGGGGGAGGAGGAGGCAAACGCAGCGAATGGCGGCAGCTGCTCCTCTCGGAGCACCGCGCGCAGCCAGGCAGGACGCACCCGCGGGCCAGCGAGGCTGCCCGCAATGGGCCCCGGCCGTGCCCGCCGCGCGGCGCACGGCCGCGCGACCTGCCGCGCGGCGCACGGCCCCGGACCACGCGGCGCCTGCTGCCGTCCGCCGTGGGCATCTTTGCCCATCTTTTCGTATATGTTCCTACGCTTTGCCATGTTATATTAATATTTGCCTACAGTTTCCAACATGTTCTTATATTTTCCTGCAGTTGCCCATATATTCTTATATTTTCAATATTTTCGCATATGTTCATGCATTTGTCAAATATGTTCCTACATTTTCCAACATGTTGAATTGTTCCCTATGTTTCCCCATCTTTTCCCATATTTTCACGTGGGTTTTTGTCTCCCCCACCCCACTTTCCATATTTTCACATGTTTCCTGGGAAGTCGACGATTCATTGTGTCTGTGTTTTTTTGTTTCCCCCTCGTGATGGTCTGCCTTCATGGGTTTTTGTCTCCCCCTGTAGACAGAATCTGACTCTGGTTTAACCCTTTTCCAGCCCGGTGCCTTCGGGCCAAGGCGGTTGCAGTGCAGACGAACTCAACACCACAGAGAAGCGCACGTGCAACACATATGTCTTAGCATCGTGAAACACACGTTTTGCAGATCGGGAAACGTGAGAATCGTGCCGGGCATATCTTACACTAGCCTAATGTCTGCACCCCCGCCCACCACTTCCCATATTTTCCCATACTTTCTGGGGAGAATCGACGATTCATTGTGTCTGTGTTTTATTTTCCCTCGTGATGGTCTGCCTTCCTCGTGGTGCCAGGGCAGGCCGCCCAGGCTGCGCCGAGGACCGACTCGGTGCTCCAGCTCCTCGCGATGGTGGGCGCCCGCCAGGGGCCGATCCTCATGTGGAGGCCTCCCAGATGGGGCCCGAGTAATGCGGGATGACGATTGATAAAATACGGGAGAGAACGATTAAACACATAGTTTTCTGCTATTTCTGCACACATTTCTGACTGGAGGAGAACGATTTAAACAATAGTTTTCCAACCCGCGGCCGGTTTTTTCTAATCGTCATCCCGGGCGCCGCCGCGTGAACACGACCCCCGGTCATTTACTAATCGTCATCCTCCATTAGATGGGGCCCAAGGATCGCGCCGCATCGCTGATGCATCGGCAAAGCATCGGCGGTGTCTCGGCTATGCACCGGCGAGGCATCGGCGACGTCGGTGATGCATCCGCGACGCCTGCGTGAAGAAAATCGAGCTCCGCATCGCGCCGCATCGCCGATGCATCGGCGATGCGGCGCCATCAACTCCGACCCCATCTATTCCGACCCCATCTGGGAGGCCTTGATCACTATCGGCCCCCATCTCCCAGCCGCCCGCCTCCTCGTCCGCTCGCCCAGCCGCTGGAGCGCACCGTCGCCCGGAACTCCCATGCTCCGTCGGGGCGAAGACCGGGCACGACGGGGCGAGCGGTGGGAGGCTGTCGAGACAACTGGGCAGCGGCCGCAGCTCAGAGGCCTCCTAGTTGGGGTCCGAGTAGTCGGAGGATCGCACCGCATCGTGGATACATCGGCGATGCATCGCCGATGCATCGGCGATGCAATGTCGACGTCGGCGCCGCATCGGCGACGTCAGCGTGGAGAAAATCGAGCTCTGATTCGAGCCGCATCGCCGATGGATCGGCGATGCGGCGCAATTAACTCCGACCCCATCTACTCCGACCCCATCTGGGAGGCCTAGAGTCTCGTCTACGCGAAAGAGAAGCCTTAATGGAAATTGGAATGCAAAGGTCACGGCCTTTCTAGCTCTGGCATGCGGCAATCGACAATGAAGTAGTGATCAACAGGATGAGTATAAGGAGGAGGAGGAGGAGGAGGAGGAGGAGGGACACGACGAGGAGATGTCACCCCATCCTCGTAGTTGCCCTCGTCTTCGTCCTCTCGGGAGTCGGGGCTGCAAGGCCGGCCAGCGACTGACCAGGAGCAGGGCAGCAGGGGGAGGGGGAGATGCCGACCGGCCGCAACTGTGAGCGCTGCGCTCAGCACCCCCCAGTGGGAAAACGTCGTGTCGACGCTCTCTCTAGAGAGGCGTCGAGTCCGGTGGGCTCGACCACAGCTCAACAAGCCAAGCTGTGGCTGGCCCGAGAATGGTGAGTGGAAGGGGAGCTCGGAGAGCCCGAGGAAAAGGAAACGAGAGCGCACGGCGAGACGATTGAACACCAGGAGAGAAGACGATGCACCAGCCTCGATGCTCGATCCTCCTTGGAGGACGGAGCAGGACGGCAGAGGGACCTGTGCACTTGGCGTCTAGCGCGAGCCTGATGATCTCGATGCCCCGGCCGCGGCCGTGGCTCTGAGGCTGGGAGGGGGGGGGCCGTGACCGTGGAGCCCGTCGCAGGGCGAGGTCGAGAGAAGAGAACATCGCAACGACTTGTCCTCGCCGCGGAGGAGGACTGTCAGAACGAGGAGGGCGGGAGGGAGGTGAGCACTGGCCCGAGGACGCACCTCCCCGCCGCGGCGGACGCGGAGGCCGTGCGGGCTCGGAGCCGCGCCAGGGGGCTCCGAAACGAAGAGCCCGGAGAGGCGGGCCGCCCGCGCGCCCACCAGGTGGCCACACCTGCACCCTACCCCCAGAAGCCCCCCACCACTTCCAAGCGGGGGGAGGGGGGGGAGGAGGAGGAGGAGGAGGAGGAGGAGGAGGAGGAGGAGGAGGAGGAGGAGGAGGAGGAGGAGGAAGAGGAGGAAGAGGAGCTCTTCGGTCGGTGACTTCGTCACATACGAGGAGGAGGAGGAGGAGGAGGAGGAGGAGGACGAGGAGGAGGATGAGGAGGAGGAGGAGGAGGAGGAGGAGGAGGGGGTTCACTCCGCTCGGGAGCCACGAACGAAGGGAACCCACTTCGGAAGCGTGGGGGCGTGGGAGTAAGGCTCACACGTGGCCGCCGACTCAAGCCGAGGGCAGATCGGACCCCGGGTCGGAGGAAAGGGCTGGTTTTAGGTCGGGCATGTCACCCTACAGGCGGATTTTCGACGAACCATAAAAACCACATAACACGTGTTCAACAAGGCGCAGCATGCTCCATAGATCTTCCCCTGACTAGTACTTGAATGTTCCTCCTGTGAAGGGACAGGCCGGTCTCAAGGCTGGCGAGTCGCCTCCCAGGACTGGCTTCTGGCCATGGCGCCTCCCGGCGCCGGAGAGGCGCCAGGGCATCGAGGCCTGCACCTGGCGGCGGGGCCGATGAACCAGCCGCGCGCAGCAGGCCTGGAGGCCAACGGGAAGGGAGGGACCGGCTCAGCCGTGATTTACAAAAAAAAACGACGCCGACGTTCTAACTCCCGTCGATGTTTTTGACGCAGTCCAGCTAGATCTGCAGGTCTGGAGCGTTATTCCGTAGCACTCCGGAAGGTCAGGGAAGGGGGGGCATCTTGAGCAGGGGCCGACCGTCCCGGCATTCCTATGGGCCTACCACGACAGGTCCTTAGAACCCAAAACTGTTCGGAGATCAAAGACAAGGTGCTCAGAACATAACGGCCCGATGTGCTGAAACAAGACCGTGTCCTAGCCAGAAATGTTCTGAGAACATGTTGTGGGAACCACAAAAGGTTCTTAGAACATTGTTTGGTAGGCCTATTAGACGTGCCAAAATCCACCCCCGTAATAACCACCCCGACACGTGAAGTCGTTTAGTAAACGCGCCCAAAGAAGGAATCGAACAGGGCAGGGCTGTTTAAAAAAAGCCCTGGGCCGTTTAATAAGCGCCAATTGTCCGGTCTCGGTGGTTTTTCCTCCCTTGATTGACTATAAGCACGCCAGGACGCTTCGCCACTGCTTGGGCATCGAGCGGGAATTGGCAACACGGCGCCGATGGAGTCGACGACACGCCACCGATGGCGAGTCCACGCGCATTTTCGGCGGGGTGGGCTCTTGCCCCCCCCCCCGGCGAAAGAAGGGACGAGATCTGGGGCCGGCGCGTCTTGAGCAGGGGCGACAGTCTTGGCATTCCTATAGGCCTACCACAACATATTCTTAGCACCCAGAACTCTTCGAAGAACAAAAAAAAGGCTCTCTGAACATAAAGCCCGATGCGTTTACACCAGACCGTCCCAGCCAGAGCTGTTCTAAGGACATCTCGTGGAAACCACGAAGGGTTCTTGGAACATTGCTCGGTCGGCTCATAGGCGAGCCAGGACGCCCCGCCACTGCTCGAGACTTTCCCTGCAGCAGGCGCGCGTCGTGAGGACCACAGTTGGCCTCGACCGCGCGTGGGCCCTCCGACCCGGCGTCTTTTCACTCAGGATCCCCGTTGGTCTTTGACGCCGCGTGGGTGCTTCGACCTTGCACGATCGGTGGATCGCCAGATCGCTTCACAGTGGCCGGCTCTGGGCCGCTGGCGACATTCAACCTTTACCGCCCGCGCTGAACTCCCCACCGCCTCGACACGGCACAGGCCTGCCATAGCCCCCAAGGGTTAAGTCGGGCGCGTCCCCCTACAGGGGGGTTTTCGACGAAAAATTAAAAATACATCCAAACTGCTCAAAAAAGGCAAACAAAAATAGTCCAAAAATAGTCCCCAGACTATTTTTGAATTATTTTTACACTTTTTTGAATATGTTTTATTTCTCGTCGAAATCCCCTTGTAGCGGGACAGGCCCGACTTAACCCAAGGGACCCCCAGAGCTTTGGACACATTCCCAGGACTCAACCTTTCCTCCTGCGCCGTGTCTGCCTGCTGCGAGGCCCAGGTGAACGCTCCCAGAGGCCGAAGATTGCCGAAAACTTCACGCTGCGACTCCCTCCCTGCGCGAGGTGGGTTTGGGATCTCCCACTCTCGTCCGGCCCGAACCCAAACAAGGACACAACTGTACGATATGAAACTCTCATGTTTTGGGTGCACCTAGCCCGGTTGAGCGTGCTTCAGTCGAGGGCTCTCCCTCTCGACACCCTGAGCCAAGGACACATACAGAAGAAGACAAATCGCTATGATTGAATTGCAACCTTATCTGCAACTCTGCACTCCCTACGCGCGGTAGGTTTCGGATCTCCCCCTCTCGTCCGACCCGAACCTTGTGAAGTCGCGGCATGACATGAAAGGGGCAACCCTAAGGGGGCCAACTCAGGGGGCGAAACGGCGACCTGGAATCGGCGGTACATCGCCGACATAGATCGGTGATGAGCCCCGATGCGTAGCAAAAACGCAGGTTCCTGGGCGAGGTGGGCTAGCAGGCCCGTGTAGGCGATGAAGAGGCCATGGTGGGGGCTCGGCCACAAAAAACCCTCCGCAAGAGACCCAACAGGCCCTGAAGTCCGCGATTCGTGAAGTGATCGTCCCACTTTGTCGATCGAAATCGTCCAAATCTTTTTGGGCGCCCCTCGCAATCCAAGAAACCCGGGGCACCCTGGCAAAATCCAATTGGTTTCTTGGCACGAGCCCCCACTGTATTGGGGGTCCATCAATTCCCCCTCGGAGCCTGACCCCCCCTAAGCTTGCCCCCGAAGACAGAGAGCACGGGCTGGCCACCACAAAGCGCCATCAGTGCTCCCCGCCGGCCGCGTCCGCGGGGACCGCCTGCTGGGGGGCGGTGGCGTCGGCGGCGCCTCCGGCACCGCGGGCGGCCAACGGCGGCGAGGGCGACGAGGACAAGGACGAGCAGGTGGGTCGGGCGGAGATGTGATGTTTTCAGCTGGCCCTTGTTTCCAGAATTCGCCTTCCGGGGCCCGTTTCGGGCCTCAGGGCCGGCAGAGCACGGAGCTGGTGCCAAATGAAGGCCTCGAAGAAGGGGTCGGGACCTCTAGGACCTCTGTGTATGCATGCATGTATGTATGTATGTTTGTGTGTTTGATAAGTTGTATGTATGTATGTAGGTAGGTATGTCTGTATGTCTGTATGTCTGTATGTCTGTATGTCTGTATGTCTGTATGCATGCATGCATGTCTGTATGTATGTATGTATGTATGTATGTATGTATATATGTATGTATGTATGTATGTAGGTATGTATGTATGTATGAATGTATGTATGTATGTGTATATGTACTTATGTATGCATGTATATACGCATGCATGTATGTATGTATGTATGTATGTATGTATGTATGTATGTATGTGTATGTATGTATGTATGTATGTATGTAGGTAGGTAGGTAGGTAGGTAGGTAGGTATGTATGTATGTATGTATGTATGCATGTGTGTGTATGTATGTATATATGTATGTATGCATGTATGTACGTATGTATGTATGTATGTATGTATGTGTATATGTATGTATGCATGCATGTATGTATGTATGTATGTATGTATGTATGTGTGTGTATGTATGTAAGTATTATACATGTTTGGTATGTCTGTCTGTCTGTATGCATGTATGTATGTATGTATGTTTGTATGTATGTGCGTGTGTGTATATATGCATGTGTATGCATATTTGTATAGGTGTAGGTGTGTGTATGTATGTATGTGTGTATGTATGTATGCATGCATGCATGCATGCATGTGAATCTACATATGTTTGGGTACGAATTATGTTTGAACCTATGCATATAACACACGTACACCTGTACATTTAACGAGAGGGAGAGAGAGAGAGAGAGAGAGAGAGAGACAGAGCGTGGGAGAGAGAGTGAGAGAGATAAAGCAAAAGAGAGAGAGAGAGAGAGGGAGAGAGATCGAAACGAGCCATTTCAGGATGAAGCTTGTGTGATGTCTCGGACAAAACAGATGCAGCGATTCGCTTCTTCGAAGACGTCATTATTGCGCTCACACATGGCGAGATGCAGTTGATGGCTCTCACGAACCAGCTCTTCCAATGAATGCTTGCCACCCCGCCGATGTCACACGCGGTTTGGTCATGTTTCTACGGTTCCACGCGCAGCGCATCGAGGCGGGCGCAATCTTTTTGAGACTTTCTACAGGGGGTTCGCACTCTGCTTTTGACCCACCGTCCCCCTGATTGGCCGGATGGCGGGTTCGTTGGTTGGTTGGCTGGTTGGTTAGTCGACTGTCAGACGGATTATTCGGTTGGCTGGTTGGCTGGCTGGCTGGTTGGACGGCTGGCTACTTCTCTAAGCAACCGAGCAAGCGACTGACCACCCGACGGGTGAACAAGCACGCGAGTGGCGCCCGACAATTGGGAATGGTGCCCGTCAGGTGAATCCCGACATGACGAAAACGACGACGACGACGACGACCATGGCCCAGCGAGTACCACCACGACGACGACGAAGATATCGACGACGACGACGACGACGGCGACGGCGACGGCGACGACCACGACAACGACGACGGCGACGGCGACGGCGACGAGGTCGACGACGACGACAACGACGACGACGGCGACGACGGCGACGACGACGAGGACGGCGACGACCACGACCACGACGGCGACGACCACCACGACGACGACGACGACGACGACGACGGCGACGACGGCGACGACGACGGCGACGAACCCCCCGCGGGGGCCTCTACGATTCCGCCTGGCGGCGGCGCGCTGCCTCGTCGCCGCCGAGCCTCGGCGGCCGGGCGCCCCAGGGTCCCCAGGGGAAAGGGCGCGGGGAGGAGGAGGAAGAGGAGGAGGAGGAGGAGGAGGAGGAGAAGGAGAAGGAGGGGGAGGGGGAGGAGGAGGAGGAGGAGGAGGAGGCGGAGGCGGAGGAGAGGAGGAGGGAGGAGGAGGAGGGAGGAGGGGAGAGGGGGAGAGGAGGAGGCGGAGGAGGAGGAGGACGAAGAGGGAGGAGGGAGAAGGAGGAGGAGAAGGAGGGGGGGGGGAAGGAAGAGGAGAAGGAGGAAGGGGAGAAGCAGGAGGAGTAGGAGGGGGAGAAGTAGGAGGGGGGCGACGACGACGACTCGGGCAGGAGGGGGAGGAAGAGGAGTAGGACAAGTTTAAAACCAAAAATCATCAACGATGTTGGAACAAACTCTCCCCCCGAGCTCCCTCTTCATAGGCCCCTACAATGGTTCGCTTCCATTGAGGAAACCTGCCTCGTTGGACGACAACCGTTTGAAAATCCTTCAACATGCCAAAACATTGTTCTCGGGAACTTAACGCCACGGATCAAACTGGCTGCTGCGTTTTGACGATCCGGAATCGTGTCAGAACGCCATCTTAGGTATTTCAACACCGCGAATCAACATAACTGTTGCACCCACATAATCCTGAATCCTTCCCAAACACCACTTCGGGTACGTTGATCATGGGAACCCGTGAAACTCTTGCAAATGTTTAGGTCGAATGCGCGCGGCGCTAAGGCGAAAACCACATGTTGAAAAGGAACCGCCCTAAATCCGTGAAGCCCTTGCGCATGCGTAGATCGAAAGTGCGCGGCGCTGAGGCGAGCCACATTTGGGAAACCACCCGCCCTCAATCCGTGCCAACCCTTGAAAGTTTGTGTAAAACGAATGTGCGCCGCACTAAGGCGAGAACCACATGTTGAAAGCCACCCGCCCTCAATCCGTGAAGTTCCAGCAAATGTGTAAAACGAATGTGCGCCGCGCTAAGGCGAGATCCACATGTTGAAAACGGCCCGCCCTCAATCCGTGAGGCTCTTGCAAATGTCTACAAATAATGTGCGCGGCGCTAATGAGAGAGCCACATTTTGAAAACCACCCGCCCTCCATATGTGAAGCTGTCGTCTCTGTTAAGTTTCAGAATCATAAATGGCGAAGAAGTGTCAGGTGAAACGCCCAGCCCGCCCTAAAAACTGGCCTCGGGTGCGAAAGGGAGAAATTAGTTATAAGGACAAGTAATGGAGGAGGAGGAGGAGGAGGAGGAGGAGGAGAAGGATGAGGAGGAGGACGAGGACGAGGAGAAGGAGGAGGAGCAGGAAATGGAGGAGGAGGAGGAGGAAAAGGAGAAGGACAGGGAGGAGGAGGAGGAGGAGGAGGAGGAAGGAGGATGAGGAGGAGGAGCAGGAGGGAGGAGGAAGGAAGGAGGAGGAGGAGGGGAGGCGGAGGAGGAGGAGAAGGAGGAGGAGGAGGAGGAGTCGCGCGCGCCTGGGCAGCGCCCCACCGCACAGGGCAAAGGGGTGGCGCCCAATCGCCGCCCCGGCCATGGAGGACCCGGAGGGGAGGGATGAGGTGGAGGCTCAGCGCGGGCTGGCGGGGAAGAGGAGACAGGGGGGGCGCAGAATGGGCGCGGACAGGAGGGATGGGGTGGGGGCTCAGCGCGGGCTGGCGGGGAAGAGGAGAAAGGGGGGGGGGACGGGGCAAGCGGGCGCGGGGAGGAGGGATGAGGTGGAGGCTCAGCGCGGGCTGGCAGGGAAGAGGAGACAGGGGGGGCGCAGAATGGGCGCGGACAGGAGGGATGGAGTGGAGGCTCAGCGCGGGCTGGCGGGGAAGAGGAGAAAGGGGGGGGGGGACGGGGCAAACGGGCGCGGGGAGGAGGGATGGGGTGGAGGCTCAGCGCGGGCTGGCGGGGAAGAGGAGGAGGGGGGAGGTGGGAGCGTCTTGGGGGCGCGACGGCTTCATCGCAGCTGTTGCCGCCGAGGCCGCCTGCGCCGAGGGGCAGCTCGACGGAGGAGGAGAGCGAGGAGGAGGAGGCGGACGGGGGAGGAGGAGCAGGAGGAGTGCGGGTCAGCCGCCCGCGGCAACTAACCCGAGCGTGCACATGGGCGCCGCCCGGCAGGCCTCACAGGCCACCGAGCAGCAGGAGCACGGGCGCGTCCGCGCGCCACGGGGCCCCGGTCACGCACGGTGCCTGAACCCCGCCCGTGCCCTCGAACACGACGTGGCCAAGGGGCGACACCTGGTGCAGCAATACGCACTGCACGCGCACAGCCCTGATGTGCGGCCTAACCCCTCGCCGCGCAGGGGGTAGGATGATGCCGAACTCGCTGGGTTCCGCCCGAACTGCACCCGCGTCCTTGGATGCTTCTGATCCATCGCCAACTTGATGGCCGTCTTGGGCGCCGAGCGGGTGCGTGCATCCTGCGAGGGACCTGGACGCGTAGCATTCAGCCCGGCGGCGCAGCCACCACTAACACCAAAACTTGCACACTTCTCGCAAATCCTGATTGGGCCGAAGACGCACGGCGCATGGCCCAGCCCACGAAAGTGCCTGAGCCCTGCAGGATCTGATGGCCTCGAAACCAGCTCCTCCTCCTTGGGCGGCTCGTTCACAGGCACGAATCGACGTTGATCTCTGAAGAAACAGTCCGCAGCCCAGCACATCACCCCCGTAGGCTCGCAGTGCTTGCACTTCTCCTTTGCCCTTTGCCCGGAGGCTGCGAGGAGGAGGAGGAGGAGGAGGAGGAGGAGGAGGAGGAGGAGGAGGAGGAGGAGGAGAAGGAGGAGGAGGAGGAGGAGGAGGAGGGGGAGGAGGAGTCGCGCGCGCCCGGGCCGACCCCCACCGCACAGGGCAAAGGGGCGGCGCCCAGGCGCCGCCCCAGCCACGGAGGACTCGGCGCCCGCGACCAAGCCCGCCGCCGCCAACGCCAGCCCGCCGAACTTGCTCGACGAAGCGCCTTCTGGCAGGCCCCAGCCCAGGCCCCTGCCGAGACCCGCTCGCGTTGCGCAGCGCCGGCTGTGCTTCGAGACAAGACAGACGGCCCCATCCTGACGAAACACGCGAGACCGATCCATGCCGTGAGAAATGTGCGCGGAG